TCTTTCCCCCTTGTTCTGGTACGCCAGAACAAGGGCTTCAAATCAGTCAAGGGCTGATCCACAAGTCAAGATTATAACTCTAAGTCTTCACCAAGATGGGTGATGGACAAATCTCCCAGTGCACAATTTCATTCTTGGATTACTGAGTAGGGGAGGTATCCTACTCCACAGTTCAAGAAAATGTATTCAATGTTACATCAATGTTGTGTTTTCCTCAAGCACAAAATATACACCCAAACAAAATTCTTAGTTCTAATACTCAAAAATCCCAACCCCACAAACCAAGAGATGAAAAGGGGAAAAGCCCACCCCTGATAGAAACAATCACACAAAACCAATCAGTCAAGCACACTCCTGTGAGAGTTCTCTGTGGGACGTCTGCACTCTGAACACGTGTGTGCACTCACGTTATTCAGATGTGCAGGATGGATTGCCCGCGTGATCCGCCATTAATCATTTGGGTAACAATACTTACGAGCAAAAATTAAAAGAAACGGGAAGCAACAGTGTAAAAGGACCCAAATCATACTTCTTGGAGCAAATCAGCCTTGAAGAAATAAATGCTGCCCCTTGATCACAGATGCTGATAATCAACACAGCATCGACCTCAGGCTAAATTAGATGGCTGATCCATGTGAACTGTGTGGGCACAGCAGCTGATAGGATCAAGTTTAAGACCAAGCCCTTTGAGGAAAGGCTGAGGGACTTGGGAATGTTTAGCTAAGAAAAGAGGAGGCTGGAGGGGGATATGATTGCTCTCTTTAAGTATTTGGGGGGCTGTCCCTTAGAGGAGGGCAGGGAGCTGTTCCTGCTGGCAGCAGAGGATAGGACACACCATAATGGGTTTAAATTAAGGGTGGAAAGGTATCGGCTGGATATTAGGAAAACCCTTTTTACAGTCAGAGTTGCACAACTATGGAATCAGCTGCCTAGGGAAGTGGTGAGCTCCCCCTCCCTGGCAGTCTTTACGCAGCAGCTGGACAAACACGTGTCAGGGAAGCTCTCGGCTGATCTTGCATTGAGCAGGGGGCTGGAGTAGATGGCCTGCATGGCCCCTTCCAACTCTTGTGATTCTATGTGCCAAAGAAGAGCACAATAGCTTCAGGGAAGGAGCAGCTGCTACTGCTGCTTAATGTCAGCGGTGGGTTAGGGTACTGTACAAAACACAACATTTGCAGTGCAACAAATGCACAAGAAAGATAGATAAGAAAGCAGGGATTGGCATACGAGTGGTGTAGCTGGAGAAGACAGTGGTAGAAAGTGCCATCAAGCCGCAGCTGACTTATGGCAACCCTGTAGGGTTTTCAAGGCAAGAGCCTTTCAGAGATAGTTTGCCATCACCTGCCCCTGCATAGCAGCCCTGGACTTCCTTGGTAGTCTCCCATCCAAGTACTAACCGGGGCTGACCCTGCTTAGCTCCTGAGATCTGACAAGATCGGGCTATTTGGGTAAGGGCCGAGGAGGTGGATGGCAAAAAAAGAAGAAGAAAAAGTAGTCTAGGGTAGTTCACAGAAAGTACAACTATTTATGGCACTACTGTTTTATCTTCAAGGTTAATCTTACATTTCCTTCTCGGGTGTCTGATGGCGCCAGGGACCTCATTACCAAAATACTTCACCGCACACCTTCTCTGCGACTCCCTCTGAAAGCAGTCGTCGAACATCCCTGGGTGAAGAGCAACTCAAGGAGAATTCTGCCACCTGTGTACAGTAAGGGAGAAGAGTGAGTCTCTGCAACATTCTGAAGACGGCAGAATGCTCTGCACGCGCCCTCTCTCGCTCGCTCTCTTTTTAAAGACAGCTGGTTGCAGTGGTAGACCGCAGTCCCACTTCTGCCTGCCCTCCCGCTTTCCCCTAAACGGTCTGCACAGACTTCGCAAATGGTGGGGACTTCCTGTGAGGAGTGACGCTGATCTCAAGGGAGGCAAAAAAAGCTAAGCTTTGTAAATTTCTTAACCTTTTTTTTTTTAAATAAACAAGTGATATGAAATCCAAATTGGCTGTTTTTTAGTATGGAGGGAGAGGGGGACAAACGTTGGGTATTCTTGGAATGCCATGTTGGAAACGAGTAGCAAGTCCTTATCCATGTTGACAAATATAGGAAGCAAAGAGGTCAGGAGCCAGTTTGGTGTAGTGGTTAAGTGTGCGGACTCTAATCTGGGAGAACCGGGTTTGATTCCCCACGCCTCCACTTGCACCTGGCTGGATGACCTTGGGCAAGCCATAGTTCTGATAAGAGCTGTCCTTGAAAAAGAGCAGTTTCTGTCAAGAGCTCTCTCAGCCCCACCTACCTCACAGGGTGTCTGTTGTGGGGAGGGGAAGGGAAAGGAGTTTGTAAGCCGCTCTGAGACACCTTTGGATAGTGAAGGGTGGGGGTATAAATCCAATCTCTTCTTCTTCTCCTTCTCTAATCACCTCAGACTTTGGGTGTCTTCCGGCAGGGCCGGTTCTAGGTTTAAGGGAGCCCTGGCCAGACAGTGCCCACGGGGCCCTCTGATGCCCTCCTTTCTACCCTGTGCCTACATGCCCCCACCTGCCCACGCATCCTTCTCCTGCTTGCAAGCCCTTCCACCACCCATGTTCAGGTCCTTGCACTGCCCGCGCACCTTTTCCGCAGATTTACTGGCCAGCGTATGCAGTTGGGGAGTGCTGCTGTCATTGTCACCAAGAGTGCCACCACTGTGAACCATCCCCATGCCCTTTCCCAATGACACTGGGCAGTTGGGAGCCTGGGTACAGAAAGGTGGTGGGGGTCAGCAGCAGCGGGCCCCAGCAGACGTTCTGGGCCCTCCCAACTGCCCCACCACAGGGTATGCTGACCCGAGCTCGGCTTCTGAGCACACTTTCTATTGTGTGGTTAGGGTTGCCAGGTCCCCCTGGGGGGCAGGGAAACCCCTGCTGTAGAGGCCCGTTCCCCGCCGGCCCAGATTGGGCCGCCAAGGGGAACCCCACCCCCAAAGTGTGTGACGTGCACGGCGTGAAGATGCCACCTGGAGGTGACGTCGTCATGTTGGGCACATTACCAGGGGGACGCTCTATCATTCGAGGGAAAACTCTATGGTTTTTGCCAAGGGGAACCCCACCCCCAAAGTGTGTGACGTGCGCAGCGTGATGCCACCTGGAGGTGGCCTTGCTCTCAATGTGCCCGACACGATGACATCACTCCCAGGTGGTGTCATCACGGCGCACGCGCAACAGAAGACTCCCAGGGAGGAACAGGACTCCCCACCACCACCACCACTATTTCGTAAGTTCAACTTGGCAACCTGGTGTCATCACGGCGCACGCGCGTGACAGAAGACTCCCAGGGAGGAATGGGAAACCCCCCCCCGCTATTTCGTAAGTTCAACTTGACAACCCTGTGTGGTGGAATTAGGCTTGGCAGAGCAGCGGACTCTAAGACTTGGAGTAGTGCTTGGTGTAAAGCCTGATGGCATTAATTGGAGGCAGAGGGTGGTATTGGCAGCCTTAAGGGTGGGATCTGATGAACGTAAGAGAAGAGCAAACAGTGTAGAGCCTGAAAGTTCAGGTGAAACGCCACAATATGGCAACTGTGACAGGATTACTGTGCTCCAGTTCTACAAATCCAGGCATCTTATTTAGTATATAATGCAAATAAAGCATTTGAATGACTGCATTATCTGCCAGTTGCATCGTGTTCTGTTCTTGGCCACTGCAACAAAGAGCTGGGAGGACTGGAGGAAGCAACATTCACTTACCCATGTGCTCGTCCCAGCTTTGTTTAAAGTTTCCTCTCAGACAACAGGAAAGCCTGCTGGAGAAAGATGGAGCAAGCATGCTGATCATAGCTGTGTGACTCGGCTCAAAAGGCAGAAGCATTAAGTCCAGATGCAGCAATGTACAGGGAATCCTGCTCACAGGTCTCCAAGATGTCATTTGTGCTTGTTTTTTGAAAACCCAGAGCTACGGAAGGCGGTTGCCTTTCAGAAGGGCCATGCCTCTGCCTGCACGCATACCAAGAAGAGCAACAGGACAGTGTGAGGTCATTCAATAGAGAAGATTCCTCACTACATTCTGCTGCCTAAGGTCCTGGCCTTGGCACTGGTGAGGAAATAACCCTGGCTGTCCTTGTCATATGACCAGTGTTCCCCCTAAGCTGAGTTAGTTTGAGCTAGCTCACCGTTTAGCCTCCGGCTCAAACATTTTTGCCTTAGCTCAGGAAGGATGGCTCCAGAGCAAACTAGTTTATGCAGTAGCCAAATCGCTCCCTCACATCTTTAATGCCAGAAGCTCACAAAGTGGAATTTTTGCTCACAAGACTCCACCGCTTAGAGGGAGCATTACATATGACATATACCCTCCCATCATGTGCTTGCAGCTCAGTGGTCGGGGAGTTTCAAAAGGCCAAAAAGCACTGTTCTCAGGCATATGGCAGTTTGTTAGACCAAGTTTATCAATCTTTTTGTTTGTTTTTCTCCTGCTGCTGGCTTCCCCCTGTGGAAAACACATCTTGTACAAAGGCTGCAGCAAAGCATGCAGGTCCGAAAGCGCAAACATACAACACTTACTCAGATGCAAGACTAGGTTTTCCCACAGGTATAAGAAAGAAGTGTAATGAAGGGCCAATATTAAAAACCTAGTCGAAACTTATACAAAAATACATGTATTTATTAGAAAGACAGTTAAAAACATATAAGGGCCTAATGAAAGTCTCATTAAAAAGTACAGGGCAGAAATGCATCAGGTCGCATGCGCAGCTACTGCGCCCGGAACGAGCGCCGCTGTCTGCTGGCGGGGGGAGGGGGGGGAGTGAGAGAACGCGAGGTTGTCCTTCACCTTCCGTTCTGACGTCACCCGGCGCTTAAGCCCGCCCAATCGGTACCCAACACGCGAGAGGTGGAATTTGCCCCTAGGAGGCCACCACCCCGGGGCTCAGGGAGACGAGGAACGTTTCGCCCCTTCCCCCCCACCCCGCGGCCGTTGCAGCTGCCCAGCGGCGCTCACTTCCCTCAGCCGCAGCCCTGTATTGAGACAGCACATGCGCCGACCCATACGTCTCCGAACGCATTTACACCCTCTTCCCACTAATAAAAAACCCGTTCGCGTGTCGCATGCGCAGCTACTGAGCTCGGAGCGCGCGCGGGGGGGGGGGGGGGGGGGGGAGCGCCCAACCGGCACCCTCGCGCACTGCGCAGGCGCACTGGCCGGAAACCGTTTCCAGCTCAACGCCCCGCTCCTTCCCTTCCTCCCTTCTTCGCCGCCTCGGAGCCCTTTTTCGGTCGGGGCTGCTCAGGAGAGGGTGCCGTGAGGCGGGAAGGTCAACAACGGGTGTAGAGGAAGAGGGGGAGGGGAACAGGAAGAGCCGGGCCGGCGTCGTTTCCATCTTCCGCGATCCAAGATGAAGATCTGGACCTCCGAGCACACCTTTGAGTAAGTGGGGGAGAGCGGCGAGCCGGAGGACTGTGAGGTCTGGGAGCATCTCTCGTTCTGCCGCAGCGATCGCGAAGAGCCGGTTTCACCTCCCGGTTGTGCCTCTGGGTGGGCCTCCCTTGCCCGCCGAGTGGTTGTCTTGGTGGACGTCAGTCAGGGTTGCCACCCCCAGGTTGCTAAATACCTGGAGATTTGGGGGGGGGGGGTGCCGAGCCTGAGGAGGGGAGGGGTTTGGGGGCATAATGCCGTGGAGTCCGCCCTCCGAAATGGCCGTTTCCTCCGGGTGAAGTGACCTTTGGTCACCTGGAGGCCAGGTGTAATAGCGGGAGATCTCCAGCCCTCTCCAGGGGGTTGGCAACACTCCCGTCGGACTTTGCCTCGCCCGTCTACGTGCACGGACTTGTGGGGTATTGCTGGTGCCTCTTGGGTTAGAGTAAAGGGCTGGACTAAGGAATCCCGAGTTCAGATGCTCATTCGCTTATGTATTGTGAAATGTTGTGACTGTTGCGCAATCTGGAGGTGTTTCCCCCCCCTGCTCGGCATGCCCCCCCCCACCGCAAGATAGCTGAGAAAGGATCTTTTAAAAATTGCTTTTTTAAAAAAAATCCTGTGATCACTCTCAGGCTAGGACCTGGGCTTGAATTCCCATTCAGCAAGGGGTGACTTTGGGTCACTCTCTCAGGCCACTTCCCTTCTGTCATTTTTGTCACTCGTTTGTCTCTATTCCTTCAGGGTTCTCTCCCCTTCCCCCCCCCCCAAATGTGTTTTTGTCTCTCTAGTAGTCTCAGAGGGAGCAAAACACATGGGGGGAAGGGGGGAAGAACCCAAAGCAGTAGGGAGAAACAAGTGACAAAAATGACAGTGTGGAAGTGGCCTCAGCCTGACCTGCTTCTCAAGGCTGCTCTGAGGATATAGATAAGGTTTTTAAAAAGGTATAAAATGTGATCCATGAGGCCCTTAAGGAAGATTTACGTTTTGGCTAGATGGCTGTAATGAGGGGGCAAAACAGATCTCCTGTGTGTGGGGGGGGGATTCCATAGCTTGGGCTTAGCAGCTGAGAAGGTCTTTGCTCAAGCAAAGTGTGGGTTTCTATAGCAAAACCTCATGGACTATCTCAGAGTATGTGTGAGAATATCTATGGGTGGAGGTGGTAGCTTAGAGCTGTGCTATGGGGTGACCTTGGGTCAGTTAGCCTGTCTTACAAGACTTTTGTGAGGACAAAATGGAAGCACAGAGGAGAGAGAGAGGCCATGTGTGTTCTTTGAAGTGCTTGGAGGAAGGCTCTATTAAATAAGCTTTTGTCATGTTTAACAAAAAAAATAGGTGCCTGAGACTGGATCTAATGACCTTGGATGAGGTTGCATAGTACATACGTGCATGCTATTCATCTAGTTATTTCTCAGTACCTGGCTTCCTGAGTGAAAATGAGTGACTCACAAAAGCTCATATTGAAATAAATGTTGTTAGCTGTTACGATGCCACTGGACTTCTGTTTTGTCTTCCCAGGTGACCCCTGTTGACTGACCCAGGCTGTTCTCTCTTTGTAAATTTCTGTTACCAACTGTAAGAGTTGTAAATTGAGTGGAGCTATAAATCAAGGCCAGTAGCACCTTAAAGACCAACTAAATTTTCCAGTGTATAAACTTTTGTGAGTTAAAGTTCACTTTGACAGAATTGGGTGGGTAAGGAGTTAGCTGTTGAGTCACTTCTGTATCATCAAAGTTGATGGGAAACATTCCTTCCCACATGTTCAAGGAAAGAATACTTAGATAGAGAGGTATACATGTGAAAAATGTTGCATAAGAGCAAAATATGCATGGCTCGTGTAATAGGGGACTAAAAACAAAATAAAAGACACACCTTGCTGTTTCTGGTTACATTTTTCTTATTTGACTGATCTTTGCCCTACCCCCTAATGTTTCTACAAGTACAACCTGAGGTTTATTTCTTAGGAGTGCAAATATTAAATCAGAGCTATCCCTGACTAAACATATCTTATGTGTCTAAAGCTAAGCAAGCGTCTTGGGAAATAATTGCTTCTCCTAAGAACTCTGATGACTATGTTGATGTAGTCAGCCATAACCTTGGAGACTGTAATGTCTAAGCCTGCTTTGTGTTTTTCATAGGGTTTTTATTCTTTGATGTTTCAAGAAAAATGTATTAGTACACACCTTGTGTTATAGAAAAAAGGCCTAAGCTTCTTCCTTCACAAGCAATAAAGAATCTGCCTTTTCCTTTTGCTCTGTGCCACACATGTTTATTTATGTAATGTCCTAGCAGTTGTTATTAAAAGAATTTGTTTTTTATATTCTGCAGTGCCTTGGTCACATTGCAATATTGTTGGATTTTTCCTCGCTACAAAATGACAGCTTCTGGCTGCTTGAACTGAAATTGCTGGAGACATCCAGTACCCACATGTTTTGACTCAGCAGTGTTTGATTTTCCCAGAGTAGGTTTTTTGAAGGCTGAATAGCCACAGCTAGCCTTACTTGGTCAGTTGATCAGGTCCCTTAACTGTCCACAAAATACATTCAGCTGTGTGTATGTTTGAGGTACGTATCTCACTTTTTTAGCATTTGTCCTTTTTTGAGCCACATTTGGTGAGGGACAGTTAGGTTCTTTGTTTTCCTGTTGTGAATGCAGCATGGTTCACAGTGTTTTTTTCAGTTGAAGTTAATTGCATTTTTTGCTCTATATAGTTATCATAATTTTGTTGTTCAGGAAGCTCGATGCAACGTACATGCTTCTTTTTCTCCTCCCCTCTCCCCATTTGTCTTTTATAAAAGACAGCCCATGAGTGATGATAGGTTAGGCTGAAAGACAGCAGCTGACCCAAGGTTGTCCAGTTAGCATCATAGCCAAGTGGGAATTTGAACATGGGTCTTTTGGTCCTAGACTAACCTCTTAAACACTGGATCAATTTGATCAGGTTGAATCAAAGATTATGTACAAACTTGGTTTCTGCTCCCTATAATAAATTGCCCAGTAGTAATTTAGTGTTCATTTGCTTCTTCTTTACAGTCATCCCTGGGAAACAGTCACCACTGCTGCTATGCAGAAATATCCAAATCCTATGAACCCCAGTGTGATCGGTGTTGACGTCCTGGACAGGCACGTAGATCCCAGTGGAAAGTTACACAGCCACCGACTGCTCAGTACAGAATGGGGAATGCCATCAATTGTAAGATTGGTAAGTGTTCAAAGCAGAAATCTAAACAACTTTCTTTGAAATTAGATGTGTGTGGCCTTGTTTTTACTAAATGCAATATAATGAAGTGTATATCTCACCTTGTCTGAAATGAGTGATGGGGCTCAGGCAGGTTTTGTACCTGTTATGATGACTTTATTTGGCTTCCTCTGGATTTTCTAGCATACTCAGAAGGTTAAAGAAGAACAATAGTTTTGTAGTGAGTCACTCATATTGCTTTGGATCATAGGGACACACAAACCCAACAGCAGGTTGCACTGTAGGCTATCAGTGTGCTACTGTTAACTGTAGTAACAGTGTGCTACTTATCCAGAAGCAGGCATCATTTGTACATAACAACCAGTCAATAACAGGGAAGAGGATTGTGCAAAGGTAATCAAACAGTTGAATGATTCAGCCTTATCGGCATTTTCAGTTGCAGAAAGGATGCTGGACAGGAATGGGGGGGGGGGGTTTGAGATGCCTGTCATCATCCATCCGATCAGTCACAGTCTCATGAGGTGTGACTGAATTCAACAGTTGCACTTATTGAGATTTTTGATCGTGGAATGCATACAGCCATTCTTATGGCATAGTCTGGCAATAATAGAAATCTGTTCATGACTGAAGCTAATGCTAGAATTAGCCTGTTATATTTACAGTCGTTCTACAGTGTGTAACATCGGATGTTCCATTTCTAGCTTATTGGTCCCTGTAGAACAAAAACATATGTAGAAGAACACTCTGTAGTTGATCCAATGAAGAAAGTAATGGAGCTCAAGTCTACTAATGTAAGTACTGAAAAAGCTGATTAAATTTGTTTGCAGTTTACTTATTTACCCATTCAAAAACCTAATGGAATTAACCCTTTGAGAATTTTGTAGCTTTTAATTTCAGCATGTGAAAAAAATAGTGTGTGCCTTTTAAAACTGTGTTGCCATCTCAAATTCAGACGCTGTCTGAATGGGAGACTTTCTTCTTTTTCATGGCATAAACAGTGTGCTACTTACTTTGGAAGCTTATTGTGCTGATTGTGCCGATTAGCTTGCTCTGTGCTGTGCCAGCGTGCAGTCTTCTGTGAATCTGGCACTCTGAGCTCCCCTGGTGAGGGAGATGAGGGAGACTAGATCTGAAAGAAGGTGCCAGCATCTTCACTGTACCCCTGCTTTAGTCCTTTCAGATCATGAAATGCCATAAGTTTTTCCTCTTCTTAAATTTTACTTTCTGATAGGAAGATAATACAATTTTTTTTAAAAAAAAATCTTACAGATTTCATTTACAAATCTGGTGTCAGTGGACGAGAGTCTTATTTACAAACCACATCCTCAAGAACCAGAAAAGTAAGTATTTGTATTTGTTTCATATTCTTTAGGTTTTATTTAACTGCATATTCTACTGTTTGAAACATTGATCTCTTGTTCCATCAAAAGATGGGGTCAAACAATAAAGACTTCTTTCTACCCTGCTTCCAGTCAGTTTTAGCCTGGGCTGCCAATATTGCTGGCAACTTTTGTTACTGTCTGTGCTGACCCTGTTTATTTGTTAGGTTTTGTTTTTACTGATGATGGGCTCCATGTGCCAGTTGGATACACAGTCACAGAAGTGTCTTAGTTGACAGCACTACAAAAATGACAGAAACTTTGCATCTGTCTAGTGTACGGTCATGGCTCTTGCCTGCACTGCTGCATGCTCCCCTATTCTGTAAAATAGAATCAGGCTTGCCTGCCTGTTCCATATGGCACTGCTGCATGCTCCCCTATTCTGTAAACTAGAGGTAAAATTCTCACCTGGGCCTTGAAGACTGTGTACTGTAGTATGCACAAGAGAGATTCTTTCTCACTTGGGTAGAACTCGGGACATGGTGTCTGAAAAGGCTGGCCACTGCTGACAATGAATAGCATATCGTTATTGTTGGGGGTGAGGGAGTAAACAGATACTTTAGTGGCAAGAGTGTTGATTCAAGTTCCCTTTCAGCTGTGAAGCTTGCTGTATGATCTTGGGCCCTCACTCCCCTAACCGAACATGTTTTTTCAGGAAATAGAGATTTATTTATTTATTATTGGATTTATATCCCACCCTTCCTGCAAGCTGGCTCAGAGCGAGTCATAGCAGCTAAAATGCAACATACTAATATATACAGTTCATATAGAGTTTAAACTTTTAAAACCAACAGACAGCAAAAGACTCGATTTCCAGCATCCACAAAGAATGGGATCAGTGCTTGTTGCCTTGAACTCTTTGGAGGAAGGATACATTGAGAATAAACATTATTCCATATGGGAGGAGTAGTTTGTGACCTTGCGGATTTGCTTTCCTGTTGCCCTATCTCCTGTATTCCCTTCCTTGTACTAATGTGGGTACCCATACCTAAGAAGTCTCATTTCCACCCATCTTTCAGGTTTCTCTTGATTGTGTAGTTTCACAGCCCTGAAAATTTTCAACTTGAGTCACTTAAATTTTTAAAGGCAGGCTCCGTCATAGTCTCATTACAAGGATGAGTGTAACTGCATGGCTCTTACCAGAATCATAGGAAGGAATGAAGAACAAATGCCAAATGTGCTGTAAGCAGTAAAGTTGTGCAAAATGTAACTAGGGAATATAATGCAAAGTACTCCCATACTTATCACTTCAGTTTAAACACAAAACTGCTGCTTGAGGTCTCTCTGTAGCATTGCAGTAGAACAGAACTTCATCATCCCTTTGGGCATAATATGTTCTTTCTCTCTAGGTTTCTAAAACAACTTTTTTCTTTGTTGCCCTAGCATAAGTATTTGTCTCTCCAGGTTGACTTGCATGTGGAAAAGTAGCCAGTGAGTTGATCTTATTAACAGGCTGTGTTAGTAGGATATGCTGCAGTCTGCAACCAGTTCTTCCCCTTGGAAAGCACCTGAACAATTTGCAGAGGAGGCATCCTGACAGAAGCTCTCATTTCCACGCTCACTCTTGACCACTTCCTTTGCCAAGAGTGGATCAGAGACCATGTGAGCAAAAGAGAAGCCTTTTCTGTATTCTAGTTCTAAAACAAATGTACAGGAGAATCTAGTTCATTATGCCATCTCCTTTCTAGATAGCTAGCTGCTTTGTGTGTCGTGAAAATGTGCTAACAGAGCAGCTTCCTATAATTATTTGTGAAAACATTTGGCAAAACCAAGTCAACCACTGTCCTTTTCTTTCTCAGAACCATTTTGACTCAAGAGGCAACAATCTGTGTGAAAGGGGTCAGTGTCAGCAGTTACCTAGAAGGACTAATGGAAAACACTATATCTTCTAATGCTAAAAAAGTATGTATAGCCAGTATGACAGTATGCTTTTTGATTTGCCTTGGCAAGATGATGAGCACCTGGACCTACCATTGAATACTCAGCTGGTGTAGTTGCATGGCTAACTGAACCTGAAGGATTCCTGTTCCAGTCTTGCTGAGTGTGTCCTGTCTGCCAGAATCTATATTGTATATGATATATCTAACCTCTTTAATCCAATTTGAGCTATAATCGCCCAGTTCTTGACTAGGGATGGGCACGAACTGGGAAAATGGAGATTCGTTTCGAATCGTGGCTCGTGGGACCACACAAAACATGACCGGTCACAGACCTTCCCATTTACCAAACTGGTTCGTTTTGTGATGCAGTAGAACCGGCCCCCTTGTGGGCTAGAGATGCCAAACTCAGAGCTAGCTGACTCTTCTCTGCCTTCCCTCCAAGTTTGGTGCGGATTGGATTTAGGGGGTTGTAACTCAAAAGCAGGTGCCCCCAGGAAAATGCTCTCTGTCTCTAACGTGCAGCATACCTGCTGCCAATGGAAAACACCGGCTACATGTGAGCTTGGGGGTATATATATCATTCTGCTCCCATAGAGCAGAATGGGAGCTCTTTTACTGGTGAGAGAGAGCTCTTAAAGCCATCTAGATTTGATGCTGTGCAAGCATTTTGTAGCACAGTCCTGAAAACACTTTCCTGGGAGTAAGTCCTATTGAATAACATGGGGCTTATTTCTGAGTAGACCTGCTTAGAATTATTCTCTAAACTACCTTAAAGCAATCTGACTGACTCTTTCCTCAGTATGCAGTTCAGAAGTCTTTCTCTGCTCAGCTGAGGCTAGCCAATCAGATTGCCTGAAACAGCCTGTCACTCAAGGCTCTCTGCCTTCTGTGAAGAATTAACCTTTCACAGTCCTTCAGCTGTTCGTACAGCACTTCTGAGCTTCTTAGAAGTGCAGTCTGTCACACCAGCACCAAACACCCCCAACCCCACTGTTCACAGGAAGAATGATTTTCAGTTCCCTTTCCACTCTGCCTCTGATGCACGTGGCACACCTGCTGCCAATGGAAGACAACGGTTGCATGTGAGCGTGGGAGTATATTATCATTCTGCTCCCATAGTCTATCATAATGGGAGCTCTCTTATTGGCAGCCAGTGCTGACTGTAGAGCTTTGAAAGGCCACTATTGGTGTTTCCAGGGCTGCAGGAGTCCATCTCCCACACACACACACTTTGACAATAGTAATATATTGGTGCCAGCATGTCCACTGCAGATGTTGCCAACACGCCCCACCACAAGATGTATGAACGTCCAAAAACCACGTGGAGGGATGTGGGAGGGTCGCTGAGGCTCACAACCCAGGATTATTTTAGCCACAAATTTAGGGTTGTGGGCAGGTTTGTGCCCATCCCTAATCTTGACTCTAACTAGCCCTTCCTAGCAACTAACCCCTCCCCACCTATATGTAATGGTTGAGAAGGTCTTGTTTCACTGTCTCTGAAGACGTGCATGCACATGAAAGCTTATACCCAGAATTAAACTTTGTTGGTCTTAAAGGTGCCACTGGACTCAAACTTCGTTCAGTTTTGAAAAGCAGTTTGTTCTGTGATGTGAGTGGCTGCTTCTCAAGAATCAGAAATCCGAAGCCCCCTTGAGGGAGGGTCCCAATCTTAATTTTGCTGAGTGCTGATCAACTTTCCTTTCATAGCCCAACTTTCTCACTGGCTCTAGGTGGATCAGACAGTGTTCAATAGATGAGACATTTAATCAGCAGTGTAATAGGACTTGGATTACAGCAGTCGGAAACAAAGCATAGACTGTGTTAGACATGATGTGTTAAACAGTGCAGGAAATGGTATTACAGAAGTATAAAAACAAATCACAGCAGGATAACATAGGAAACAGGTGATACATATTACACACACTGGAATAATTCACAGTCCACTTACCTTTTATAAAAGCATCTTCCTGAATCATTTTGTTATTATACAGCCCTATTACCTATTTCACTTGTCTTTGCTAACTTGTCACTACCTGTCATTACTGTTCATCCCACACCTTATTTATTTGTGCAGTATACTGTAAGATTTTTAAGCAAAGACCATACTTCTTCTATGTCCAGTAGAACACCTGACAGGCTGACATTGAAGTGTTGAATTTGTGGTGGTACAGTGCCAGCAGGCCGGTATGGTAATTTTTTTCTTTTTTTACCTTGTGGCTATGGATCAGATGAACATTTTGCTTGCATTCTTAGTTGGATTTGTTGTAAAATGCAACATGAATGTTTCCGTTTTCTCATCTTACAAGTACTTCACTCCCTTGATTTGTCAGAAAATGTTTCTTAGTTTCCCTGATGTTTTCACTTGTTTTCAGGGTCGTGAAGCACTGGAATGGGTGATCAACAAGCTGAATGCTGAAATAGAGGAATTCACTGCTTCAGCAAGAGGAAACATGCGGTCACCCATGGCAGCGGCAGCCTTTGTGGGGAAATAATGTAGAGCTACATATGTATGCATCAGTGGTTAGGCCTGAATATCTGAGGCAAACAGTTGTGCACTTCTTCCAGGCTGGAAATATTTATTCTTCTACCTATTTTTTAAAAAGAAAATCTGTATATTAGATTTTTAAATTAAACTTGGAGAGAAGTTGCATACCTCTGTAAAATGAAGGTACTACACATGACTGTGGAATTCAATGGGACATAGTACTCAGTGGAAGATAATCCAAAGGTTGAGGATCAAAGGAGTCTTGTAATGCTGGAACTAAGCTTCCAACGTACAGTAGTCTTCCAACAGAGCAAGCTGTAGAACGCTAATGAAAATACCTACTTTGATAGAATTCAGGTTTACCTGGACTCTCTTACTTTCAGTGCCATTCCAAAAATGAAGAATTATTATTCTGGACCCAGAATAATCTGCTTGGTTTGAGGCAGCTAGTGATAGGTCTTGGTTTGGATGAACAACGTTTATTACTTGAAATATGATTCCTTATACAACATTTTTTTGTATGCTGCTTTCATTGTTACTGTTTTTAACATGAGAACATGGTACTTAAATACTTGTCATGCATATCTTTGAATAAGAAATAAATTGATGCTTTGTAATTTTGAAAGTTTATCAACTAAAGTTGTGTGCTAGCTGTAATTCTGGAAGAAACTGCATGTTATATAGCCAAAAGAAACTTTGGTCAAGTCTTTGGTCCACAATTTCAGTTTTTGTATAAAAATGGAAACTCTGAGACAAACATATCCTGTTAACAATGTAACATCGTTAAATGAGTTTCATAAATCATGAGTCATATGTTTGCTTAGCAAGATACCACGGGCAAATTGAATGTCTTAAAGTAGTTTGTATTTTGTTTTTTGTTCGTTTTCCTTGGGGGGGGAGAATGGGTTAATCTAGTCATTTGTAGAGCAGTTCTAAGCGAAGTCACACCCTTCTAAGCGCCTTGACTTGTGTTTAGCCTTGTGTGTTTTCCTTTGGGGTGGGGGAACGGGTTAATCTAGTCATTTGTAGCACAGTTCTAAGCAAAGTCACACCCCTATAAGCGCCTTGACTTGTGTTTAGCCTTGTGTTAGTCTCCTTGAGTTCTGTAAGTAAATGGATAGATTCCAACACCACCTGTCACTGGACAATTTTTGTGGAAGAATTTGAGAATAGAATGTAAAATCCGACTGGTATTTACTTTAACATGGAATGAAATTAGCAATGAAATAGGTCCTTACTCATTTAATGATAAATATAGTTGCCTAAGATCTCACTAAAACGAGGGTCTGTATGTGATATATCTGAGGAGGAGGAGAAGCAATATTATCTCCCTGAAGATATTGCAGCAAACAGTATTTAGTGGGAAACTAAGGAGTTGCGCGTCTGTTTTAAAATATCTGTTTTAATTGACCAAATTAATCTGTTAATGTTTGGAAATGGGAATTCTTCGATGCATGTGGTGTTCTGTGCCACTTTAGCTCCAGTTCTATACTGAAATGGGTGGGGGGGAAATCTGTGGATTATGCCTAAGATTGCAAATATTTACTAATACATATTTAAATTTAAAATATTTTTCTACTTCGGTTTTAGTTAGTCTTTACGATTGCATTTGTAAAAACCAATACATATGAATATGGGTTTTTTTACATGCAAAGATTAACTTAATTAAAATGTCAGTAATGGTGTTTACTATTTGTGTGTTTAAGTCTTTTAGCCTTCAGCCGTTTCTCCTCCTGGTGAAGAGCACAGTTATCAAACACTGAGTGAGGAAATTGTTTTAAAGCAGTCCTGTTTACTCTTAGTCTGGTGTATTCAAAGGGCATAAGAACCTAAGAGAAGCCAATGTTGGATCAGGCCAGTGACCCATCCAGTCCAACACTCTGGGTTCATATGGTGGCCAGAAATGCCAGGCAGTTCCCTGAGACTTTCATCCTTTAAAGAGGGCTGAGGGAGGAAGATCAGGTGCAAGCTCTGCAACAGTACAAAACTCACAAATTCTGTGATACCCAGTCTGTTTTAAAATATCTGTTTTAATGGACCAAATTAATCTGTTAATGTTTGGAAACGGGAATTCTTTGATGTATGCGGTGTTCTGTGCCACTTTAGCTCCAGTTCTGTACTGAAATGGGTGGGGGGGAAATCTGTGGATTATGCCTAAGATTGCAAATGTTTACTAATACATATTTAAATTTAAAATATTTTTCTACTTAGGTTTTAGTTAGTCCTTACGATTGCATTTGTAAAAACCAATACATATGAATATGGGTTTTTTTACATGCGAAGATTAACTTAATTAAAATGTCAGTAATGGTGTTTACTATTTGTGTGTTTAAGTCTTTTAGCCTTCAGCCGTTTCTCCTCCTGGTGAAGAGCACAGTTATCAAATACTGAGTGAGGAAATTGTTTTAAAGCAGTCCTGTTTACTCTTAGTCTGGTGTATTCAAAGGGCATAAGAACCTAAGAGAAGCCAATGTTGGATCAGGCCAGTGGCCCATCCAGTCCAACACTCTGGGTCATATGGTGGCCAAAAACGCCAGGCAGTTCCCTGAGACTTTCATCCTTTAAAGAGGGCTGAGGGAGGAAGATCAGGTGCAAGCTCTGCAACAGTACAAAACTCACAAATTCTGTGATACCCTCAGTAAGGTAATGAACATTTTCCCCCCATCCTGTACTTCAGGATGGTGGACGGCTGGATCTCAAGGTGAAATCTCCAGATTATGCCAATTGTCTTGGGAAGGGAGGGCAAAATGGGAGGAAACTGCTCAAGTATCTTCTAATGCTTCCTGTCAGCTGGGGGGAACAAGATGCATGATGACCCAACAATCACTGGTACAACCTCCCTATTTCCCGTCTTTAATCATTTTGGTGTAGTGGTTAAGTGTGCGGACTCTAAGCTGGGAGAACCAGGTTTGATTCCCCACTCCTCCACTTGCACCTGCTGATGTGACCTCGGGTCAGTCACATGCTCTGGCACAGCTGTCCTTGAAAAAGAGCCGTTCCTGTCAGAGTTCTCTCAGCCCCACCCACCTCACAGGGTGTCTGTTGTGGGGAGGGGAAGGGAAAGGAGTTTGTAAGCCACTCTGAGACTCCAAGTGAAGGGCGGGGTATAAATCCAATCTCTTCTCTTCTTCTAATCCTTCCAGAACTGAGCCACCCTGATTGTGGCTGAAACATTACATGGCAATAGCTTTACCACTGCAGAATAAGTGGTTCTGCAGTTAAAGATCTTCTCTCAAACAGCAAGTTTCCAGTCCATGTTTTAGAGTAAAGTGCACTGTAAGTTTCGTATAATGCTAATATCTTCTAGAGAAACGTTTGTACTGAGGCACATGTACCTGATAACGCAGGTGCACCATGCCACATGTCTCTGTCATCTGGGTGCACTTTGGACAAGGTGTGCAAGGAGTTCACTTTAAGATGGGGAAGATGGAGGGAGGGAATGAACTAGGGAAACCAGAAAGGTAAAGATTGTATTGTGGAGTGGGAACTTCCAAGACAAATTTCACACCTGACTGCAATACTTGCCACACTAGAAATCTATTTTATTTGATCGTTTCCCCACTTTTTGTTCATGAAGTCCTCAAAGCAGTTTATTAACATTTTGAAAATACAGTATATTAATACTTCCTCCCAGTTCCTAATATATTAGCCCTGTTTGTGCCCTTAGAATGGCAGTTATGGGCTTCTACCTGACAGGGTTAGAGACCTTTAGTGTCCTGAAAGCCAGGCCGGTTGGGGTGGGCCAGGACTTGGGCACGGCTCTGCCTTAGAGCTTATTCTGTTGGTGGCTTGAGAATGCCTGTTCACTTGCAGGGTGAGTGTGGAGAAGACCTGGGAGGATTTCGAAACTGAAAACATCTCTTAACCACACAGGTGAGACTTAAGTTTTGCACGTACCACATGCTTACAAAATTCTGCCCTCCTCCGTTTGGTCTTCACAACACTCCAGTGAGGTAGATTAGGCTGGGAGTGTTGTGGCCTGTGGTCACCCAGCAAGCTTCTGTACCAGATTGGGGATTTGAACCTGGATCTCACACAGACCCTAGTTTGACACTACATGCTTAGGAGACTCTTAGGACTGCAGACGAATACCCCTATGTAAATTAATGGGGGGGGGAATCCTCCCAAATGGCCTGGTGGAAAACTAAAAATGCTCCAGAAAGGACAGAATGGTGAGAGCCGCTGGGGAGAGGGAGGAGGAGAACAACGGGTTATTCAAGCCGTGAGAAAATCTTGGTGGGGAAAGATTTTGGAGGATTTCCAAACTGATATCCTCTCTTAACCACGCAGGCAGTATATTTTAATCATTCCACGACAGCAAGTCGATTTGTGTGTGTGCGTAAAGGTAAAGGTTCCCTTGCTCGAAAGCCAGTCGAGTCCGACTCTAGGGTTGCAGTGCTCATCTCCGTTTCAAAGCCGAAGAGCCAGCGCTGTCTGAAGACGTTTCCATGGTCATGTGGCCGGCATGACTAAACACCAGGCGCGTGGAACGGTATTACCTTCCCACCGAAGTGGTACCTATTTATCTACTTGCAATTTCTTGCTTTCCTACTGCTAGGTTGGCAGGAGCTGGAACTAGAGACGGGAGCTCACTCCGTCATGCAGCACACTCGGGTCTCGAACTGCTGAACTACTGACCTTCCACAGCCTGCAGTTCAGCGTCTTAACCACTTGAGCCACCGCAGCTCCTCTGTGTGTGTGTGTTTGTGTTTGTGTGTGTGTGTGTGTGTGTTTAGGCAAGTCTAAAAAAATAAACCGGGACCACCTTGGTCACCCAAGATGCATTGTCTTCGACTTTATGTTTGCTCTGCTTAAACCAAACTTGTCATAGTACAACCAGAGCCGCCACGGCGATAGAACACGTTGACACATTTGAGTATGTTTCTCAGGGATATCGTTGATCCTTTCACTGGGAACAGCGCCTACCTCCCACTTGTGTATTTCTGTTTGCTGCAACAGAAACTTACAATAATAGTGCATCTGTGTTTGTGATAAAACATTACTTTTCTGTCCAAGGTGTCTTATGATAAATATATAGATGCAAAAGAATCAAACAGCTTCATGAAAAACAACAGAAAACAAGCTCCCGTTTAAAAAAACTGAATTAAATGGTTTTAACAGCATGCCACCTGATGTCATTTTGATACTCCATGTTTAACATTCCAGCCACTGGGATGTGTTTTCTTTCTCTCTCATTCTCAAGAGCAGACTATCCTGAACTTTTGCAAAAGGAGTATATGCACCGTTATTTCTAATATCCGCCTCCAATTTGTTTGGCTCAGAGTTTCCAGCCTCTGGGAGGAGCCTGGGGAGCGCCCCCCCCCCCCCGGATTACAACTGATCTCCCCTGAGGTTGTTTCCCCTGGAGAAAATGGCTACTTTGGGGGGTGGACTTTATCATGCTAGAAGTCCCTCCCTAAGCTCAACCCCCCCCCCAGATCCCCAGGAATTTCCCAACCAGGAGCTGGCAACCCCAATAGAGAAAGTGTACCCTAACCTGAGCAATTAAACACTGGAAATCAGGCTGGATTATTTTTCCTTTATGCAAACTAGGCCTGAAGAACCCAAATATCCATAATTTGTAAGGGATTTTTCTCCTGGCATGTTCCCTTTGGAACATCAGTACAGAAATTACACCCTAGCTTGGAAAACTGACAACTAGGAAATCGGGCTGGAATCTCGGAATCATTTCTACTCACAGGCTAGACCGGAAGTTGCATCTTGCCATAATTCATTGCATTAGGAGTGCTAAGAAACTGAGATCTCCCTCCGCATGTCCATAATTTTAAAAAGATTTCCCCCCCGGGTGTTGTCGCCTTCCAAAATCTTACTCTGTGTAATAGCAAATGATAGTGAACACCGATGCTGAAATGCCAGTTTGCAGCTAATCTGCAAGGGGACTTGACGCTGCTCTTCCATGCCGAACGCTGCAGTGAAGCTGCAAGAGATTTACTGGAAAGA